TTAGGCCAGTTGGCCCTTTCAGCCTGTCCTGTCATTCATTAAGATTGTGGTTGATCTGATTTTTACCTGAACTCTACATTCCTAGTATCCTCAATAATCTTTCAATCCCTTGGTAATCAAGAATCTGTCTTCCTCTGCCTTAAAAACATTTAAAGATTCTGCATCCACTGCCTTTTGAGGAAGGGAATTTCAAAGCCTCACAAACCTTCTTAGAGAAAAAATGCTTTCTCATCTCTGTTTTAAATGGGCCCACCCCTTCTTTTTAAAATATGAGCCCTAGTGAGGAAACATACCTTCAATATCTATCTAGTGAAGACCCCTCGAGATCTTACATATTTCAATTAAGTTACCTCTTACTCTTCTAAAAACTGCCGAGGAAAGGATTCCAGCCTATCTAGCCTTTCCTTATAAAGAATTTTTTTCGTTCCAGGTTGTTTAGTAAACCTTCTCTGAACTGCTTCCAGTGCATTAACATCCTTCTGAAAATGCAATGTACTCAGTAGTCTAAATGTAGTCTCATTGATGCCCTGTATAACTCAAGCATAACCTCTCCACTCTTGCATTCAATTCCCCTTGCAATTAAACATTACATTCTACAAGCTTTCCCGATTACTTGTTGTGCCTGCAAACTAATCTTCTGTGATTCATGCACTAGGACACTCAGATTTCACTGCATCATAGAAATCTGTGACCTCTTGGCATTTAGATGATATGCTTCTTTATTATTCTTTCAGCCAAAATAGATAATTTCCCACTTTCCCACACTATACTTCATTTGCCAGACCTTTGCCCACTCTGTTAACCTATCCATATCCCTTTTAAGGCCTCTGCACTCTATGGAGTTCAGAAGGATGAGGAGGAGGTCTCAATGAAACTTACAGGATATTGAAAGGTCTGGGTAGAGTGGATGTGGAGAAGCTGGTTCCACTAGTAGGAGAGACTAGGACCTAAGGGCACAGCTTCAGAGTGAAGGGAAAACTCTTTAAAACTGAGATGAGGAAGATATTTTTTAGCCAGAGGATACTGAGACCTGTGGAACTCACTGCTGCGGAAGGCTGTGAGGCCAAGTCATTGAAGCTCCAATATGATGTCAAGTATTTAAGTCAGAGATAGATAGATTCTTGATTAGTAAAGGGATCAAAGTTTATGGGGAGAAGGCAGGAGAATGGGCTGAGAAACATTTTAGCCATGATAGAATGGCAGAGCAAACTCAATGGGCTGAATGGCCTAATTCTGCTCTTCTATCTTATGGTCTTATGTCCTTTTCACAACTTATTTTCCTACTTATCTTTGTGTCACCAGCAAATTTAGCTACCATACCTTTGATCTCTTCATCCAAATAATTTACATAAATTGTAAAGAGTTGAGGTTCCATTATTGACCCCTGTGGCACACAATTTGTGACAGCTTGCCAGCCTGAAAAGCATCTATTTATTCCTATTCTCTGCCTCCTGTTAGGTGGCTAATCTTCTATCCATGTCAATATATTATGCCCAACACCATCAGCTATTATTTTCCACAAAATGATTTGGATGTGATAATAGGAGGAATGGTTAGTAAGTTTGCAGATGACACCAAAATTGATGCTGTAGTGGACAGCGAAGAAGGCTATCTCAGAGTACAACAGAACCTTGATCAGATGGGTTGATAGGCCAAGGAATGGCAGATGAAGTTTAATTTAAATAAATATGAGGTATTGCATTTTGGTAAGGCAAATCAGGGTGGGACTTATACACTTAATGGGTAGGGCCCTGGGGAATGTGGCTGAACAAAGATACATTGGGGTGCAGTTTCATAGTTCCTTGGAAGTGGAGTTGCAGGTAGACAGGGCAGTGAAGACATTATTTGGTATGCTTGTGTCTATTGGTCAGTATATTGACTATAGGAGTTGGGATGCCATGTTGCGGCTGTACAGGACATTGGCTAGGCCACTTTTGGAATATTATGTTTAATTCAAGTCTCCCTGTAGGAAAGTTGTTGTTAAAGTTGAAAGGGTGCAAAAAGATTTACAAGGATGTTGCCAGTGTTGGAGAGTTTGAACTAAAGGGAGAGGCTGAATACAATGGGGCTATTATTCCTGGAGTGTTGGAGGGTGAACGATGACCTTATAGAGGTTTATAAAATCATGAGGGACATGGATAGGGTGTATAACCAAGGTCTTTTTCCCAGGGTAGGGGAGTCCAAAGCTAGAGTGCACAGGTTTAAGGTGAGAGGGGAAAGATTTAAAATGGACCTAAAGGCAAGTAGTGGAGGTTGGTGCAATTACAACATTTTAAAGGCATTTGGATGGATATATGAATAGAAAGGATTTAGAGGGATATGGGCCAAGTGCTGGTGAATGGGGCTCGATTAATTTAGGATACCTTGTCTGCATGGATGAATTGGACCAAAGGGTCTGTTTCCATGCTCACAACTCTATAACTCTATGACTCTATAACCTCTTAAGTGTCACCATATCCAAAGCCTTCTGGAAGTCTACATATAGTACATCCAGTGGTTCCTCTTCATCTGCAGCATAAGTTGTTTCTTCAAAGAACTCCAATAAATTAGCTAAAAATAATTTTCCTTTGACAAAATCATGATGGCTTTGCTTGATTACTTTGAACTTGTCTAACTATCCTATCACCCCTTACATTCCTAAACTCCAGCAGTTTCAAGTCTAGCCTGTCCAACATTTGCTTAGATACCAAACAATCTGCCCATTTCAGGTAGATGTCTACTCAACTTTCTCTGAATTGCCTCCAACACATTTACATCTTAAATAAGGTGACCAATACTGTATATAGTGCTCCAGATGCAGTCACACCAGTGTACTGTATAACTGAAGCATAATCTCCCTACATTTGTATTCAGTTTCCCTGATGATAAATGATAACATTTTATTTGCTTACCTACATACAAATCTTTTTTGATTTATTTACCAGGATATACAGATCCCTCTGCATCCCAGAGCTCTGAGATCTCTCACCAATGAGATAATCCGCTTCTTTTGCATTCTTCTTGTCAGAATGGACAATTCCACATTTTCTGACATTATACTCCATTTGCCACTTCTTTGCTTGCTCACTTAAACTATCTATAACTTTTTGCAACCTCCTTGAGTCTCTCCATAACCTTACATTCCTACCCAGTTTTGTGTTATCAGAAAATTTGAGAAGCATACCTTCATTTGAGTAATTTCTTCAAAAATGTTGAGGTCCCAGCAACAATCCTAGTGTTACATCTTCCCAAACTATAAAAGACCCATTTACACCTACTCTCAGTTCCTGTAGTCAGTCAACCTTCTATCCTTGCCAATAAGTGACACATGAGTTTTTCTTTCTGACATCTATCATCTAGAAGGACAATTGCATTAGAAGTAGGAGAACACCATCTCACTTGCACATTCCCCTCCAAGCCACAAAGCATCATGCATAATGTTCCCTCGAACTTTGCTGCAGAGTTGCTTATACTTAACATGATGGAAGGTATCTTCAATGCGATGGCGGGACTTCATCATAGAATCCATAGAGAGAAGAACACAGAACTGCTACGATGCGGAAGCAGGCTATTTGTCCCATCAAGTCCACATGAACTCTCCGATGAGCATCCCACCCAGACCTGCATTTCCTCGGGCTAATCCACCTATCCTGCACATCCCTGGATACTATGGGCAATTTAGCATGCCTATTTACCTAACTTGCACATCTTTGGACTGTGGGAGGAAATCGGAGCACCTGGAGGAAATCCACGCAGGCACAGGGAGAATGTGCAAACTCCACACAGACTGTTGCCTGAGGGTGGAATGAACCTGAATCTCTGGTGCTGTGAGACAGCAGTGGTAACCACTGTGCCGCCATGTTGTCCCCATCTCCACAAGTGCTATATAGTAGTTGCACCTACTGTCATGGATAAATGCATCTGATACAAGCAGGTTAGGGACATCAAAGCCAAGCAGGTTCATCCATCTTGTTGGTTCCCTCACTACCTGCCACAGACCCAATCTAGCAGGTACGTCTTTTTAAGAGTCAGCAGTGTTGATGTCAAACCAAGGTTGGCAATCGGCATTTAAGTCCCACACCCAGAGTACATGCTATCTTCTTACCAATCCTCTATGTTTCTTCCAATGGTTATTCAACTTGGAGGAGTACTGAATCATCAGCTGAAGTAGGTAAGGTGTTAGTGGGTAATGAACAGAAGATTTCCTTGCTACTGTTTGATATGAAATCATGAGACTTCATGGGATCTGGAGAAATCTTGAAGATTCCAATACTGACTCCTTCCTAACTGTGCACCACTCTGCTACCACTTCTGGAGGGACTGGGCATACTCAGGTATGGTTATGGTGATGTCTGGATTGTTGACTATAGGGCATGAGTCCATGAGTATGACTATATCAGGCCATTGACTTATTAGTCTTTGAGACAGTTCTCCCAATTTTGGCACGAGACCCCAGACATTAGTAAGGAGGATTTTGGACAGGTTGACTGCGTCGGATGGACTATTGCTATTTCCAGTGCCGAGGTTGGTGCTAGGTGGCCCATTTTGTTTAATTATTTTCTTCAGGTCTCATATTATTTGCCAGGCCATTTCAGACAGCAGTTGGGCCGAAGGGTCTGCTTCTGTGCTGTATGACTGTATGAGTGTAGTCCAGACCAGGATGGCAGATTTCTTTACTTAAAGGGCATTAGTTAATCAATGGATTTACTGACAATGTTGATGGTCACCATTAGTTTAGGTTTTAACTTCAGGAGTTTTACTTATTAAACTCAATTTCACCATCTTTCATGGCAGGATTTGAATCCATGTCCCCCACCATTAGTCTGGGTTTACTGGATTACTAGTCCAATGACGTTACCACTACACCATCACCAAATACCATTCACAACAAGCCATATACAGAAGCAGTCTGTGCCCATTTTGTTTATTCTTTCTTGAGCTATGAGCATCACTGACAAGTCCAGCATTTGTTGCTGATCCTTAATTGCCCCTGAGATGAGTAGCTTTCTGGACTTTTTCAGAGATCAGCTCAGAGTCAACCACATTATTGAGGGTCTGGAGTCTGAAGCACGCAGGACAGATTATGTAAGGATTGCAGATTTTACCAAGAGGACTGAGTGAACCAGATGGGTTTTAACAACAATTAGTGACAGTTTCATGGTCACTATTACTGAGATTTGCTTTCAATCCGAGATTTATTAATTAGATATAAATTCTTCCAGCTATAGTGGGATTTGAACCCATGTCCCTAGAACATTAGCCTGGGTTTTTGGATTACAAAGGCAAGCAGCAAGGCTTGGACATATTCAGGCTTGAGTTGACAAGTGACAAAACATTTGTGCCACATAAGTGCCAGTTAGTGACATTGCCCAACAAGAGAGAATTAATATTCAATGATATTACTACTGCTGAGTCCCCCACTACCAACTTGCTGTAACCTTAACATTCATCCCCATCACCACTGATGCACAGTTGTGTGTCCCATATAAGAAATGCGCTGCAACAACTTGGACAGCACCTTCCAAACCTATGACCTCTAAATCTCAATAGAAAAGGGCAGCAGATGCATGGGAACACCATCATCTGTAAGTTAACCTCTGACCCACAAAGCATCCTGACTTGGAACAATATCAGTATTCCTCACGGTCACTGGATCAAAATCCTGAAATTCCTACCTAACAACACAGTGGGTGTAACTGTAACAATGACAGCAGTACAGATGACAGCAGTTCAAGGTTACCAGCACATTCACAAGGACTACTGGGATGGGACAATAAATGCTGGCCTTGGCAACAGGGCCCACAAGACTTGTTTTTGAAAACATGAGAACTATTTAATATTGTGCCTGCTTTTATTTTTCAATTCTTATCTCCATTCCCTATCATTGGTTACAAATAGGGAATATGAGAAAGATCAAAAATGTCAAGGCTATTGGACAGACTCCACCAGAGGAAGTGGCACTGCCCATGGATGGAAGTTTTCACTAGCATGGCACCTTCCTATTGAATGGAGACGTTGGCTCTGAATTCTGGTAGACCTGATACTGGGATTCTGCCACTAACTCATGAGCAGTCTCCTGGCTCAACAGTTACCCTGTATACTGCCTGGAAATTTCAGGAGGCATTTTAAACATGCCCTTAATTAATTCACTCCTCAGATATGGAAGTAGTCAGTGTCCATAAGAAGCAAGGCCTGGATAATATTCAGGCTTGTGTTGGTAATTGGCATGTAACGATTGTGCCACACAAGTGCCAGGCATGGTCTCCAATGAGAGAGACAGTAATCGACGCCCCTTGCCATTTTACTGCTGAATCCCACACCATCAGTTTCCTGAGGATTACCATTGACTGAAAACTGAGCTGGACCAACTGGTTAATTGGTTAACTGTCACAGTTGGCTGGGTAACCAATGTAACAACCATTTAACCTTCTGCACAAGAAGGAACCAGCCCAGTGGGATTTTCCCTTCATTTTTGGCGTGCCCTCCTCCAGACCCACCTGCATGGGCTGTTGAAAATTCAGCCCAACATATTAAATTGTTTTGTTTTATGCAGCGATTTGATGCAATTTTTAATCTAAAGCTCTGAAGATTGCAGGGCACAAATGGTTTCAGGAAACACAGTGTAAAATATAGACTCACCATCTGTTGCACTGGTTGTGGTTACCTGAAAGGAAATCACATTCAGAGGGGAATAGAGGCAAATTTTATTTACCAAAATGTAGCAAACTTGATTATCTGTGGTGAATCTCATTGCTGCAGAAGACTGTGGAGGCCAAATCATTGAGTGTATTTAAGACAGTGATAGCTTCTTGATTGGTAAGGGGATCAAAAATTACAGGAAAAAAGGAAGGAGAATGGGGTTGAGAAACATATCAGCCATGATTGAATGGCAGAACAGACCCAATGGGCCAAATGGCCTAATTCTGCTCCTGTATTTATTGTCTAAAAATGTTCAAGAAAATGGGTAGCACGGTGGCTCAGTGGTTAGCACTGCTGCCTCACAGCACCAGGGACCTGGGTTTGATTCCACCCTGTGGTGGCAACTGTCTGTGTGGAGTTTGCATGTCCCCCCTGTGTCTGCATGGGTTTCCGCTGGGTGCTCCAGTTTTCTCCCATAGTCCAAAGATGTGCAAGTTAGCTGGCTTGGCCATGCTAAATTTCCCATAGTGTTCAGGGATATGCAGGCTAGGTGGGTTAGCCATGGGAAATGCAGGATTACAGGGGTAGGGTAGGGGGATGGGTCTGAGTGGGATGCTCTTTGGAGGTTCAGCATGGACCCATTGGGCTGAGTGGCCTGTTTTCACACTGTAGGGATTCTGTGAAGATAGGCAGGGGAACTTACAGAAATCTCCTCAACTTGTTGACAGCAATTAGGCTAATTCTAAATCAAAGTCCACATGAAGTGATAAAGCAGACACCCATGTCCTTACCCCAACCCCCATACACCAGGCCTTGCCATCACATGGGCTGCTACCACAGCCATCCTTTTGTCAGCTACTAATGTAGCTATTCATTCTTCCAGGCTAATATTTGCCTATTTCTTATTCTGATCAACTGTTGTTCTCTCTCAGGGGCTTCATCTCCACCTATCATTTACTCCTCCCCACTCTCCCACCCCATCCTCAGTTTATATACCAACCTTTTCCTAGATACAATCAGTTCTGAAGAAGGATGACTGAACTGAAAACGTTAACGCTGTTTTCGCTCCACAGATGCTGCCAGACCTTCTAAGTTTTCCCAGTAATTCCTGTTTTTGTTTATGAAGTAATGCATGGCATTTTGGGAGCCAAAATCAAGAACAAAATCCATAAGTACAATTTTTTTTAATGTGCAATTTTAAATTCATTTTAAAATTAAGACTTTCAGAGAAACAGACAAATAAAAATGGATGTCATATTTTGTGCCAGTTAGTGGGGAATCTGATACAAATCTAATTAAAATTTGCAGATCTGGCTTGTAATGCTGGCACTAAAATTCAATAATGAGCAAACTATGTTTATGTCATCAATAAAGTACACAAATTAATAGTGTTATTCATGCGGTAATATTGTCAATACTAGCAACTGAATGTACCAATTCAGCAACCTAAATAATTTCTGGGTTTTTATTTACACTATAGAAACAATGGAAGGTTAGACCTGCAGCTTACATTATGTCAGGCTCATGATATCAATTGCACTTTGAGTATAACTACATGTTATATATCTATAATCAGTATTTCTGACCTGTCGGTGTTTTTTGAGGCTACATTGGCCATTTCAAGACTGTCATTTATCCTACATCAATTGCTAGATTGACATACTTAGATGAATATCTATATCATGTCACATTTTCAATTAACACCTTAAGCTTACATCACTGTAAAAGTACATGCATATTAAAGTTGAGTATCATCGGCTTGAAGTTCAAATGGAGAACCTAGAGTGATGCTGTCACCTGATTATCCTTATTCTTCTTCAGGCCCACTTGAAGGCTTGTTGGAAGCTGTAGAGCTGCAGTAATTGATAAAAGGGAGAGAATCTAGCACAGGACAGTAATTTGTATGTGGAGGCCTGTGGCAGTAAATGAAGTCCCCAGAAATGTCCAGCAATTAAATATTATTGTTTAATATCTCCAGACTTGCAGACAGCAAAGCTGGATGGGAGGGTGAGCAGTGAGAAGGATGCAAAGATGCTTCAGTGTGATTTGGACAAGTTCAGTGAGTGGGTAAATGCATGACAGATGGAGTATAATGTGGGTAAATGTAAGGTTCTCCACTTTGTCTGAATAGCACAGATTGGGCAAGGGAGAGGTGCAATGAGACCTGGGTGCCCTTCTACACCAGGGCTGGAAGTAAGCACGCAGGTGCAGCAGGTGGTGAAGAAGCCAAATGGTATATTGGTCTTTATAGAAAGGGAATTTAAGTACGGGAGCAGGAGTGTCTTGCTGCAATTATGCAGTGCCTTGATGAGACCACACTTAGAATTGTGCAAGAACTGCGGATGCTGTAAATCAGAGACAAAAGGAGAAATTGCTGGAAAAGCTCAGAAGGTCTGGCAGCATCTGTGAAGAGAAATCAGAGTTAATGTTTTTGCGTTGAGTAACCCTTCCTCAGAATACCTAAATTCTGAGGAAGGGTCACTTGACCTGAAACATTAACTCCGATTTCTCTCCACAGATGCTGCCAGACCTCCTGAGCATTTTCAGAAATTTCTGTTTTTGTCTGGAATTGTGCAATTTTGGTCTCCTTATCTGAGGAAGGATGTTTTGGCTATGGAAAGGGTATGGAGAGAAAGGGGAACAGGAAGATGAGTTAAATGACCAGCCACGATTGTATTGAACAGTGGAGTAGGTTTGAAGGGACAAATGGCCTACTCCTGTTCCTTTTTTCGATGTTGCTATGTTTAGTAATTATTACCATGGAGTTTCCTCACTTAGAGCAACAATTATCTCTCAGTTGGAGGAGTGTAAAGGATCTCACTAAGGTCTGACATTTGCAAAGTTTTCACATGGATTTGTAGATGGCTGACCATTAGATTAGTAAAAATAAGACCAAGAGATCAGGATATGGATCTGATAGGAGAAGACTTTGTAGGGGATAAAAGAAAAAAACTAGAGAAATGGATGAGTTCAGGGGTAGGGCATGAAAAATCTTAGAGGACGTTGGTCAATCTCGTGAAGAAGTGCTGAATCTTGTAATTAATTAACTCAATAAATATTATGCATACTGCATTCTTGGTCCTTTGCTATTCCGCCAGGTAAGAATCACAGCTCAATTTGATCCTACCACCACCCAATTTTCAGCCAGAGCCTCCAGTGACCAAGGTACTGATTTATCCTCTTTCTGGTCCAATGGCACTGATGCTAATTCTGGATCTACGATAACCGGGTCCAGGAGATGAATGGGTGAAGTCAATTCTTAAACAAATACATGTCAACACAATTTTTGATCAAACTCTCAGCTTTGAGTGGAGAAATGATCTTTCAGCTCATTTGCCTTGAATTGTGCGGCAGCAACATTTCGGTCAGACTTTCTGGGAGAAGAGCAGCCGACGATAAGGCCTTCGAAACTGCAAACTTGGATTGCATCAAAATCTGTGCAAGCATGTCAATTGAACTAAATGCAACATTGAATCCACTGGCGTAAAACCAATTTTCCCAGTCAAAGAGATTTATGATGCATTAATTGTGTAATAGGCCTGTTTAACATCTGTCTTCATTTTTATTACCATTGAGATAGGCTACTGACTGCATTTCACAAAATTTCAAAAAGGAATGATCTGCTCCAATGTTTCCAAAGATGATGGAATAGTTTAAGACTGTAAGAGGCTCGACCCAGCTATTTAACTGAACCAGACTCCTACAACTAGCATTGCTTCTTGTGGCTACCTTAGTGTTCACTGAGACTCTAAGCGCAAAGAATAAGTCGCAACAAGTCACGGCAGATTCCTCCTCTAAAGCATTGCTAACATTTGATCAAAATTTGTACCTGAAAACTATGCCTGTATTATCACACAATCATCAAATTGTTATGGTGTAAAAGCCATTCAACCCATTGTGCCTGCACCAGTTCTATTGCCGATTACCGACCTCAGGCCTTTTCCCCATATCCCTGCACACCATTTTTATCCCTCTTGAATTCCTCAGTTGAAGCTGCCTCCACTGCATTTCCAGGCAGTGCATTCTATACCCTTACTACTTGCTGTGTGAAGAAATTTTTTTCTCACATCACCCTTGCTTCCTTTACACATCACTTTAAATCTATGCTCCTCCTTTTTTTGTTTTAGAACGCCCCTCTAGAATTGCCACCCCTTTTAAACAGTGTTTTAATATTCTCTGACCAAAATATATCACCTCAAAGCTTTCTGCATTGAACCTCATTTTCTACATATCCACCCACTCCTCCAACTTGTCATTGTTGTTTTCGAGTTCCACACTGTCCTTCTCAGATTACAGTTCTTCCAAGTTTAATGTTTTCTGCAATGAAACTATCATATGAGCACTTAGTATGTTTGTGTGACTTTCCTCTGTCTCCTACTTACGTAGGCACCAGTCTCTTTAACGGAATAATGTCTCCCTTAAGATGTTAAATATTCACATTGTGATATTGCAGCAGTTAGTTCAAGCATTGAATATCTATGTATTGATTTGGCAACATTGAAACCATTGTTTATCTGAAGCAGCCTGGAAACAAGCACAGCATTCCTCATCACTTTGGCAACAGACATTGTATAATTTGTACATCTCAAACAAGTTTGCAGGCTAAAATTGCATAGTAATGAACTTAAGGAGGAAGTCCCAGTTTCATCCATTTTCTACAGTTGTGAAAATAATCTTTAAGGTTAATTACATAACTTTAGGTTTTATGTCAGATAAGGACAAATACAAAGGGATCAATTTTAAACCTACCCTCACTCTCTGCAGAAACAGGGCACAGTTAATTATGATCTATTAAACATGGCATTCTCCTTCATTTCCAAATTGTAAACTTAGGTGCTCACATGCAAACAAGTCTGGGCCTAAATCAGGTAGGAATTTCACATATTTAAGTTTCCAATAGGATCCTGCTGGCATTTTAACTGAGTCTGAGTAGGGAAACTGCTATCTTCAGCTTTCCTACCAGACTCAAGCTAGTGGATATTTTGTGGAAAGGACAATGAGGCCCTCCATAGTACACACCCTCCCATGAAGACCTTCACACCCCTTAATTGCAAACCTGTGGCTGGCAAATGCTAAACAACCTTTCCAGCTAGCAGATGCCCTGTGCCCATTTCCCACAATTCTGGTGGAATTTAAATTAGGCACAACAGGTAAAATCCCCAGCCTGAAGCTGAGGGCAGACGGTACATTGCACTTGCTTAACCTCCACCCTCCCTTCTCTCATGCCAACCTCAGATCGAATTATTAAACTTGAGGCTCATGAGAAATTTGCTGATTATCAATACTATTGATTTTCTCTCTACAGTCCCATCATAATTGATTCTCCTGATTGATAGATTATGCATCCACATGCCCTTGTGCTATCCCAAGATACTGTGATACATCATTCCGAAAAGGGAAGGCTGGAACAATATACAAAAGAGATTGAGGCCAAACGGTATGTGTTTTCAAGGAGGAGGTAGATATAGCTCTTGTGGCTAAAACGATCATGGATGGGATTAGGTTATTGAACTCAATGATCAGCCACGACTTTATTGAATGGCTAGCAGGTTCGAAGGGCCGAACGGCATACTTCTGCTCCTATCTTCTATGTTTCTAAAAGAAGAGCCAATGAACAATACAGCTTCATCCGACCTCAGCACTCTACTTCAGCAGGTCTCCTAGTCTGCTTCATGCTGAACTCCAAGAATAACTGCAAATTAATTCCTAAAGTGTTTGTGTAATCGACTCCCCTTTCGGGCCATACAAAAAGCTGTATAGTAGTTTCCTAAAATGTAATTTGTGTATTATTCTGAAAATAAAATGGAAATTTAGCTAAAGATCTGTTTCAATATACATGATCAAAATGTATTGACTGAATGTTTTCTAAATTGGGCTTCCAGGAGCAATAAAAGAATCAAATTTGTCTAGTCACAAGCAAAGAGGAGGTTCTGTGTGCATGGTTGCAAAAACAGTTAATGGTTAGAGAAATATCAAAATACAGTTTTTTGCTCTTACTATTGCCAATAATTACCATTGTTTAATTTTACCGAAAGCAAAGTTGACAACACAACAAATGAAAATGTCAATTTGACATCTAAATCATTCATCATATGCTCTTCAACATGGTCAAGTGTTTTATTTTGAATGTTTTTCTGGTTGCCAAAGAATTTCCACCGCATCAAAAAAGTTGGCTTGAAATTCTTTCTCAAATTTTGCAACAATTACAAAATACAAAGCAACCTAAAGTAAACCAATGTAGGGAGCAAGAAACATTTCACACCCTGTTGTTGCAACCTACGTGCCAGATAATTAAAATTATTGACAACACCACTTAGAACATAAATTTCAAAGATGATACCATGTCACTTATTTTCCAGCTATGTTTCTTTACAATTCGAGTTATTGCATGATAAATATGATGAAGCTCTCAACAACTATTTCAGTAACTGGAGTTAAATCTGACTTACGCACTTGCCAGTAACTCCATGCTACTCCATACTACTGGGTCCATGGACTCCAAGATAATTTTTTAAAAATACTAAATGTATTAAAAGTACTATTGAAAATCAATTGCAACTCACCTTTGAACACTTTCAGTTTCAAAACAAATACAAATTTGCTTTAATAGGCACCAAATGTATCGTATTCAACATCCAGTGACTTCAGTCTGAGACAATCTATCACACACTTCACTGGGGATTGGGTGTTTCCTGTGTTAACGGAAGTTTTATGAATATTTAGCGTAAACCTTTGTTTAAATTGGCAAGAGACCTGTAAATGCCACCTACTGGTTGAAGTATATTGCCAACTGCAATTGTTTCATATTTAGTCAAGTCAATTTGTTTCTTATAGATTTACATTCTTTCCTCTCTCGTTGATTAATTAAGGACTGAACTATTTACTGAAATCTACCCTTGCAGCAGTAACTTCAAAACGAGAGCCGGTCCAGTACTGCAATCATCATCTTTGGCGGTCTCTCGCAAACGAGGATGACTGTCTTCCACTCTCAGGGTGAGTCCGTAGATGGTAGAAACTCTGTTACAGTTGGAGCAGACGGTGGTCGTGGGAAGGCATGGGTGGGCCGTTCGGTGGCAGGGCGCTCCTTTCACTGTTTTCAGCTGACTTCCACTTTTTCCTGACGGCAAGTCTCAAATGTGCTCGACCCTTTCCCGGATGCTCCTCCTCCACTTTGGACAGTCTTGGGCCAGTGATCCCCGAGTGTCTGTGGGAATGCCACACGCCACCAGTGAGGCCTTGAGGGTATCAATGAAGTGCTTCCTCTGTCCTCCTGGGTCTCATCTGCTGTTTCGGAGCTGGGAGTAGAACATCTGCCTGGGGAGTCTTGTGGATGATGTGCCCAGCCCATTGTAGCCAATCAAGGGTGGTCAGTGCTTCAGTGTTGGAGATGTTGGCCCGGCTTAAGATGCTGGTGTTGGTGCATCTTTCCTCCCAGGGGATTTACAGGATCTTGCACAGGAAGCTTTGGTGGTACTTCTCCAGCACATCAAGTTGTCTGCTGTAGACAGTCAATGTCTTAGGGCCATATAGGGCGGTGGGAACCACCACAGCTCTGTAAACCATGATCTTGTTGTCGGATCTGCAATGCTAGTGATTGTAGATAACTTTCTCTCCGTCAGCTTCTCCTGCCAATGTTAAAAATGCAGGTCCATTGAAGGGTAAAATAGAGCAGCTCCAGATTTGATTGCGGGCATACGATGCATCTTGGACTTTATGTTTAAGAGCTGTGTTCTCCTCTTCAACACCATTTTAATTTAGTCCTTCTCTTCTCTCCCTACCTTTCTGCCACTTTTGTTGTCATTGCACTAGTCCTGAGAAGTTTTGCATGTAAATTGATCACTTAATTAGTGACATACGTGAGATGGTGCTGGGGAAAAAAAGTAAAGACAAAGTAACACTGCTGTTTTGGTAGTGCTAAAAAAAATTTAGAGTTGTGTAATCATATCACTGATGGGCAATGCTCCTAATTTGGTAAATGTTTCCTCTGTGACATGGATTTTGAGGAGAGTTACTAAAAAAAGTGAAAGAAAGAGGGGATGAGAGGGGCTCTTGTGGTGCAGTGGTAGTGACTCTGAGCCAGGAGGTCTAGGCTCAGATCCTACTGCAGAGGTGTGTCACAACATGTTAAACAGGTTGATTTTGAAAAAGAGCTGCATTCTCCCTTGCCAAACTATTTTAATTTATTTCTCTCCCTCCTTTGTCCCTGACGGGCAGTGCTTGTTAATTGCTCCTTCAATTGGTGAAGCAGGTGAATTGGTGGAGGTCTATTTCAAACAAACCATAGCTGTTTGTTGTAATTCGTTGTTTATATCGTAGAATGGGTGATTTGATCATGGGTTTAAAAGAAATAAAGAGCAGCTGGGTTCTTTGCCAGTTGGAAACTGGCTTCTGGACAGATGGGTCTTGGAGGTGAAAACTGGGGTTTGTGCTAAACTGTAGAGTTACTCTAAGGCCTGTGTCAACCTGTAAAAAAATCTTCTGATGCCTAATTCAAAATATGGCTATCAGTATGTTAAACATCCACTAATCGATTCCAGGCCAGCGTCAAAGAAGTCAGGTTTTTTCTGAGAAACCTCACTTTTCTCTCTGATGCTGTGGAAAGCTATGGCACATTCAGCAGATTTTCCCTCAGGACAACCAACAGCCTCCAGGATGGTTACTATAGAACATCTAACTGAATGCCACCTGCTCCACCTCATTCATTTGGATCTAAAAGGGTGGGAAACATGTCTCCATCCCAATTAAGGGTTCATACTTGTGAAAATCTGAACTTCCCACCACAGACAGGTTTCTGACCCTTAAGCCCATCCAGACCCTTTTTTCCAGCTCTGTGTGAACATCTAGCCTTTCCTTTGCTGCGTCCATGGGAAAATATTGGTCTTCCACTCTGCTTTGCCTGGAGTCACAGTTGAAAGTTTTGCAATCTGATAGTCTTCAAAGTACATGAGGGAAAAATGCAATTTTTTTTAAAGAATGTTTTTTAGTTAGGACCTGTTTGCTCTTGAAACTGACTTGTTTCTACATACCAAGTTTCTGTCTGCATGGCCAAATGAATAAATGTCCTCAGGAACTTTATTAATATTATTAGGCCTTTCCTGGAAATGATCATTTGAAATTCTTGTATCTGTTTATTTTTGCAGTTGTCAATTGCAATTGTAGCTCTGCTCAAAATATAAGCAAACAACTTTGAGAATATCTTCAACTGAATTAATTGCGCCATGTGTGATCTGTTCCACCATAGTGGGCACAGTTTGAATCTCATGAATTGTGACTGTATTGAGATCTGTGCATGTTGGTCGTCCTGCCCATTGGTGTCTACCAGGTAGAAGATATCAGAAAGTCACAATGTGCTTGCATATTGGCATTACAGTGTCATTCTGTTTATGCACAGAATTGTTGACCCATATAAGCTGAGAGACGGTTTCTCATAGGTTATACAGTAGAATGCTACTGATGAAGTACCCGCCTTTCAGGATGCATAGTGGTAATGTTTTGAAACTAGATCCTTTGTCTATCTTAGTTTTAAAGGTATGTTATCTTGCCTTTTCAGCACATACGATGTTAATGGTTATAAAATCTGCATTGGCTTATGCTTTTGATGTGGCATTTGATGTTCAGAATATCAAGAGCTTGGTCATCTCCTGAAATTTTCCCTTTGCTTAGTTGACTGTGCACTTTATCAAGGTATCTGCATTTGTGAAAGTTCTTAACATGTGCCTCGCTAACAGCATTGCGGTGTTATACCATCTTACTGATCATCTATCTTTGATTCTGAGTTCTGGATTGTCTTTTGGAACCAGATTTCCTGCTCATCGATTCCAATGTCCTTTGGTGCCACATGCTTCTCAGATGAGAAGAAATGCTGGACAGCTTTTGGGTAGTTGCTACGAACCACATCTGTTGTTGGCTTAGTGTACTTTGTTGACTGAAGCAATTGTATTGTTTGTACCTAACACATTGTAATTGTTCTGATGAAGAGTCACTGGACTTGAAACATTACACTTTTTTCCCTCTACACATTCTGCCAGACCCGCTGAGTTTCTCCAGAATTTTCTTTCATCTAATTGCTGTTGGTCTGCCACTGTGGATTAATGCTTGCAGTCATCGTCAATCAAGATGGAATAATAAGACCCATTTTCCTGTCATGAAGATCTTTCATGAAAGCTTTATTTGGATTAGAGATGATTACTAATTCAATGAGCCTTTCTGAAAGTTGCTTTTTGGAAAAGTCACACTGATTTGGAAAGAGAAAATGGTGAAACCAACTGACTTTTGCACACAGGTGGGAACGAGAGAGACTCGCGGTTGGTGTGTTGCCTCCCGGGTGCCAGGGTCCGTGATGTCGCGGATCGTGTTTTTGGGATCCTTAAGGGGGAGGGGGAGCAGCCCCAAGTCGTGGTCCACATAGGCACCAACGACAGTAAGGAAAAGGGATGGGGATGTAAGGCAGAAATTCAAGGAGCTAGGGTGGAAGCTTAGAGCAAGAACAAACAGAGTTGTTATCTCTGGTTTGTTACCTGTGCCACGTCTAGCGAGGCGAGGAATAGGGAGAGAGAGCAGTTGAACACGTGGCTACAGGGATGGTGCAGGAGGGCGGGATTCAAATACCTGGATAATTGGGGCTCATTCTGGGGTAGGTGGGACCACTACAAAGGGGATGGTCTACACCTGAACCAGAGGGGTACCAATATCCTGGGGGGGAAATTTGCTAATGGTCTTCGGGAGGGTTTAAACTAATTCAGCAGGGGGATGGGAACCTGAATTGTAGCTCCAGTGTACAGGAGGTTGAGAGTAGTGAGGTCATAAATAAGGTTTCAAGGTCGCAGGAGTGTACCGGCAGGCAGGAAGGTGGTTTGAAGTGTGTCTACTTCAATGCCAGGAGCATCCGGAATAAGGTGGGTGAACTTGCAGCATGGGTTGGTACCTGGGACTTTGATGTTGTGGCCATTTCGGAGACATGGATAGAGCAGGGACAGGAACGGTTGTTGCAGGTTCCGGGGTTTAGATGTTTCAGTAAGATCAGGGAAGGTGGTAAAAGAAGAAGAGGTGTGGCATTGTTAGTCAAGGACAGTATTACGGTGGCAGAAAGGACATTTGATGAGGACTCGTCTACTGAGGTAGTATGGGCTGAGGTTAGAAACAGGAAAGGAGAGGTCACCCTGTTGGGAGTTTTCTATAGGCCTCCGAAAAGTTCCAGAGATGTAGAGGAAAAGATTGCAAAGATGATTCTGGATAGAAGCGAAAGTAACAGGGTAGTTGTTATGGGGGGCTTTAACTTTCCAAATATTGACTGGAAACGCTATAGTTCAAGTACTTTAGATGGGTCCG